GATTGGCAAATATGTCCAAATTATCACGTGGTAAGGGCACAAACACGATAGAGGCAAATAGAATCAGCGAGATCAGCGATCCACATGGAATCAGCGCCTGATACGAGTGACCCTGGTTGCATGTTTATGTCGCACGGCTTCTCTCTTGAGCCAAAGGGAACCCTCATTAATAACGAATACTTATATTATATATATAATATACATTTATATAATATAATAATAATAAATATATATATATATATATACTATATATATATATACTTATATAATATATGAATATAAATAGATAATAAATAATAGGGAAGGAGTGTGACTTCACATAAAGATGCGAAAATTGTCATTTACTATCCTAGAATACCTGCGAATTTATACGTGTAATCAACCAACTGTGAGGTCAAATCGTATCACAGTACATTCGCTAGCCATCGTGTGCGAAAATCCGTTTGTTCGCGTCGTATACACCGCAATTCCGGAAGCTAGAAGACTAAAACGTACGGCAGCGATTCTCGCATTCTGTTGGCATGCAAAACGAATCCATAACCCGCCTAACTTGAAACAATAGCAGCTTACCTAACAAATCGTGCGCACTCTTGTGCCCTCGGCGGCCTGCTGTGTGGCTCGCTGGGAGATTGGAACATGGACGCTGCTGCTGATGGGCGGTGCGTGCGTGCGTGGGGGCACACGCAGCTGTAAAATAGTCAATAGATTAGCTCGCAGAGTGTTGCGATCTAATGTCGCATCTTCCAGCAGCCACACGCAATCGCCGCAGGGCAGCAAGAGTGCGCAAGAGTCGTTAGTAGCTGCCTATTGTTTCAAGTTAGGCGGGTTATGGATTTGTTTTGCTGCCAACAGAATGGAGAATCGTGTCGTACGTTTTAGTCTGTATCTCCGGATTGCGATTTCGGAGGAGACGATTTCGCACGATGCTAGGCGAATGTACTGTGTACGATTTGAACTCAAGTTGGTTGAGTTAGGTGTAGTAAATCGTAGGTATTCTAAGGCTAGTAAATGACGAATTTCCCATGTTTATTGAACTCACACTCCTTCCCTATTTATCTACTTCTGATATATATATATATATATATACATATATATAAGCAGACAATGCGTATAGTTGCCAGTTGCGATAGCTAGATACAGAGACCGTTGGCATGACGATATTTAGTCTCATGACTAGTCCTAGTCCTTACTGTTTATCTTAGCCCATTGGAGCAAAAAAACATTACGATCGTTTGAACGTATTTCCACGTACTAGCATCACATAATCATCTGGTCATGTAGTAATTGACCATACTTCGAGGTTTCCCAGCGACGCTTTTATATGTTTTTTTGCGCCGCGCCGGTTACATTTAGAAACATGGTTTATCTGAACGCATCAGTCGGCATGCAGCGATTCGAGGAAACGTAAACATTTAGTCTATATTGATAAATGATGACGTATCAATGATCAAAGAGACTACCGATCACGAGTGTGACTGATACAAGTGTGAAACACGTGTTACCTAATGTTCCTTGCAATTTTCAGAATGAACAAGATCAGGTTGTGAAGACGAACGTATGGTTAAGACACGTGAGTACAATTTTATAGCTGCACATTAGTATGTCCAACGTTAAAGTGATTGCGCTGTAGCAATCATTTAAACTATATTTTATCACACTGCGTAGGTGAGCATTGCTGTATTCATCGGTCTTATTTATTCCCTACTACAATTTTGTATGTTGCTATTTTAGAGCTGGTATGACCCTAGTATGGCATGGAATTCTAGCGAATACGGGAACATTAAAGTCATTCGTGTACCGCCGGAATACGTATGGCTGCCTGACATCGTTCTACTGAACAAGTAAGGAAATTACATACAAGCGAGAACGAAAATATGGTCTTTAATATTCAAATTACTTAGAATATTCTTATATTTACCCCATCTTATAATTATTATCCCCAAAATAAATCGAAAAAAAGAATGTTGAAAATTAGGTCTCACCTATTAGCAAACATGTTACTAATTACTCCCATATTAAAATTACCACAGGTTTGTGCTGTTATTGCATATCAAATAGCAAATAATGCAGCCACATCATTCCTAAAATTGGCAACCACCAGACAAAGGTGTGACTCTTTTGACAATATCTGTGATGTAGTGGTTCTAGACTGGTACAGCGTCTCTATTACTTACTGCCAGTTGTCATTAGCAAGGTGTATGGACAGGGTTTCGCTACAAAAACTTGGCATCATTATGCATAGCTTCAACAAGAAGTCAACAAACAAATTTCAATCGTTGCATACCTTGGTAAAGGTAACTATGTACGAGTGTTCTGAGACATTATTAGCCTTACTGCAGTACTACTACTAGTATTGTAATGGTCGGAAAAGTTACGATAACGAGCAGGAAGACTGTTTGAAATTATTGTTATCGTCCACGTGCATATCAATTTATTTTTTATTTCTTTACTCATTTATTTATTTATTTATTAATACATTCATTTATACGTTTATTCATTCATGATCATTCATTCATAAATTCATTCGTTCGTTCATTTGTTCGTTCGTTTATTATTTCATTCATTCAATCAATCATTCATTTAATAATTTTTACTGTTTTACCAATTGTGTACGCCTATCTATTACCTATATTTCTCTGTGTTGTGACATATGCGCAATTTCTTAATTCGTACACAACGTTTATTTCCGACGCCATTGCGATTAATTTGAGACAGGGCACGACTTCGACAATCTGTTACGCGACTAAGATCTATATACGATTAAATTCAAATTCTTACCTGTTTATACAGCGCTGACGGAGTGTACGAAGTGAGCGAGCGAGTGCGCGTGTTAATATACAGTGACGGAATGGTTGAGTGGATCCCACCAGTGATCTACCAGACATCGTGCAAGATCAACGTGCAGTACTTCCCGTTCGACCAGCAACTCTGTAAGATGAAATTCGGCTCGTGGACCTTCAACGGCGAGCAGCTCCGTCTCGGCTTTTACTACAACCTTCCCTACGTCACCATCAGCGACTACGTGAAGAGCTCTACTTGGGACTTCATCGACGGACCCGGTTACGTGTACATCGACGAGACGACGTCGCCGTCGCGCACGGAGATCGTCTTCGAGCTACACATACAGCGCAAGACGCTCTTCTTCACTGTGAACCTCGTCATCCCATGCCTGCTCATGTCCATGCTGAGCGTGCTCGTCTTCTACCTGCCGCCCGACTCGCAGGAAAAGGTGACGTTGTCCATATCTCTGCTCGTCGCTATCGTCGTGTTCTTGCTCGTCGTCTTCAACCTTCTGCCGCCGACGTCGGACACGATTCCGCTGCTCGCCAAGTATCTCATGTTCACGTTCCTGACGAACGTCATCACGATGGCGATATCGGTGATCGTCATCAATTGGAACTTCCGCAGTCCGACGACGCATCGCACACGTAAGGTGCTGCAGACGATCTTCGTCGAGTGGCTCCCGCGCTATCTCTGCATCCGGCGACCTTCGCTCGACCACGACGATGTCGAGTCGACGCAGAACGCCAACGGCACGAAGTCGAAGGCAAACTACATGGACGTCGACAACCTGCATCATCCAAAGTGCGACAAGTTGCACAAGAATCACAACTTCGGCGATGACAGCTACTCGACGTACAGCTATCTGAATGAGTTTGCCGCGGAGATGAGGAACGTCGCGGATGCTGTCGAGGTCATCACGGAGAACATGCGCACGACCGATGCGATCCTTGAAGTATGCCTGTCTCGCCTTGTATTACACCACACGTGCGTCCACAGTGAGGTGTGAGCGTGTGCCTGCGTTCGTGCGTTCGCGTGTGTGTGTGCGTGGCTGCGTGCGTGTGTGTTTATCTATTAAGTCTATGCATCTATCTACATGCGTGCATGCGTGCGTGTGTGCTTGCGGGCGTGCGTGCGTGCGTGCGTGCGTGCGTGCGTGCGTGCGTGCGTGCGTGCGTGCGTGCGTGTGCCTGCGTGCCTGCGTGCGTGCGTCCCTGCGTGCGTTCCTGCGTGCGTTCCTGCGTGCGTTCCCAGATTTAGTTATTTTACTCGTGCCGTCATCGTCACGTGTAAAGTATTACGTCCAACGAGATCTATTACTCCGCCAGGGGCTTGGCGGAGGTTATTCTTTTCACCGGCGTGTGTTTGAGTGGTTTCTGGGTTTGTGGGTTTGTGAACATGCACGTTTTAGTTCACTTCCGCTAGTGCGCTAGCTATGACTTACAAACACGCAACCACCAGCTAAGGGGCAACCACAGTCCTCCCCCACCTGCACGCTCGCACTCAGCGAATATCTATCTATCAATCTATACTATCTATCTATCTATCTATCTATCTGTCTGTCTATCTCCCTAAGGCAACGCAGGCACAAGCAAGCAGCGAACGGAAGCACGCAAGGCATGGTTTCTAAGTATAATTATTAAGAACTTTAGTACAGTTAAATTGTTCACAAATAGGTACAATTAATGCGAAGCGTAAAACTCACTTCAAACATATAGTCCAATTTGCCCTAAATTTGAAGAGCAAAATAATGCATTACAAGGTATTACAAGGCATTTTATATAGAAATGAATGTACGTGACAGAAAATTGTATAGTAGTAACAAGATTTTGGTATTACCGTCTTCGTATCAAGCAATATTTTATTATTTATTTATTATACCTTGTTCTTTTATGCGTTTTTGGGGTTGCGCTCTAATAACTGTTGAGTCAGACGATGAATTTACACAATAACGTATTTCTCAACTAATATATTTGGTTAGGGATATATCGATAACCACAACTCATTTTGGTGTCTCGCGCGCATGTTTGTACACTTAAACACACGTCTGGGCAAAATACATACATAACATCATGCAACTGTATGTGCATAAAGGTCCGTGTGACCTCGGTATGCTCAGTAGTCGCCATTGCTGACGTCCACGTTATCAGCTTCAGCTAGACACGGTCGGTAGCTTCGGATAGCTTTATTCAGGAGTTCTTGCGCTTCCCACGACCTATATGTCAACTACATGAGCCATGTATCCATACCGGCCCCTATCCACCTTCGTTACAAATTACAAGTTACAGATTACGTTTTGGTGGTGATCCGGATCCAATTAATTAATTAATTAAATTTTTAGGATAGGTCAGAAATTGGGTAACTTAGCAATGGTGATCCGGATACAATTAATTATTTAATTAATTAATTAATTAATAAAAAAATTCACTTAATTAATTAATTAATAAAAAAATTCACTTAATTAATTAATTAATAAATAAAAAATTTGCAATGAGAGAATTCAGCTGCCTTGGCGGAGGTCTGTGCTCTCCGAGTGCTCTAGTTTTTATCATGCACTCACCGGCTTGCTTCACATTACATTGATGATCTGGGGCCTTCAGAATGGATGAATTCATAGCCTACATATACACATTGGCTCTACAAACCGACGTCTATGCATGAAATATACGAAATTAATATTCGTTTTCCCATATGTTAATAATTGTTTACCCGACATATTAGCCCTGCGCAACCTTCCAATTTTTTGCCAATAGGAACTCGTATAGTAACCTGGCACGCGCGATGTGATTTCAAGCGTGTTTTTTCTTGTTTTAATTTAGATTGAAGACGATTGGACGTATATATCCATGGTAGTTGATCGCCTCTTATTGTATATATTCTGCATCGTCACCGTGGTGGGCACGCTGTATATCATCTGCACAGCGCCCGGTATCCGAGACTTCGTCGATCAAGATCAGAGGCTGAAGGAACTCGGGAAACTTGTCGACGATGTGTTGAGCGGACTTTCCGACGAAGAACTTGCACCGTATTTCATTTACAATTCTTCGAAGATGTACGCCTGAATATATATATATATATATATATATATATATCGTATGTTGTGTGTAGCGCATTACAATTGTGAATCTCGATCGTAAAAAAGCTGCAATCGGCGAACTATATGCGGAAGTTTTATTCGCATTATTAACGGATGGTTTATAGGTCGTGATTTGGTGCTAGTAATCCCGCTAGTTATGCTAGGATGCCTTAGTAGAAATTACATTATTTTGATGAAAGATAATGTGAAATTAAGCAAATGAACACATCATATAGCGTCCTGTAAAGTGCATTTTCATCTGCAAGTATTAATTGTATCCGTAGGTTATACGTTATGTATGTGTCTTACATTATAAGCATTGGAATATATGTGTTATACTATATATTGCACGTACTAGTGTATTATTTTGGTTTAATAAAATATATTTTAACAATATTCCAAGTTTTAATAATATAAATCGATCATGTAGTGGCTTATTACAAGACAATAATTTTAAAAAGTATCATACCAGCGAGATTTGACATTTTGAGCAGTGAGCCAAAGACGAGCTGAACATTGGTCCTGAATATGTATGAAGTGTAATTTTGAGTTGATGTTGTATTATGCCTTTTTGCTGAAATAGCTTTGGATGGGTGGGTGGGTAGATGGATGAATTGGTTTGTATGGATATCAATATATAGACCTACAAATAAACTTTGCTCTAACCCCAACAGAACACAGTCTCTAAATCAAAACATGCCCCTCATTGTACCACCTGACAGTTATATATTACGCTTTTTTTCACGTTTTATTTTTTTATCTCAAACGATATTGGCTATACGGGATTTAAAGTTAGTAACGAAAATAGAGTTCTTGCTCTATTCTCTATATAGTGTGTAGCCTTCTCCATTAATGTAGTGGCCTTGAAATGCATATGTCATGGCTATTTTCGGTGTAAATACAAGTGGTCCGTTTTGTGTATATTTAGCAAAACCGTTTAGACAAAAAAATATGGAAGAATATTTGAGTTAAGAAAATATACGTTGTGCCTGGCAATGTAACTCTGGCTACTTCATGTTTCCTAGGATAGTATAGTTGCCAACAGAAAACGGTTATACCTTATACGAAATGAAATCTCCAGTCACGCCATCTATCGACACAAAGAAACTAAAAATACGTGGCCAACAAATAGAGTTGAACTACTTACCTATTTATATGATATGTAGTGTATATAATCTGCGTTCCGCATTGCGGATTCCATGTTTTAGTAACAACCCGCTATAGTCTAGGCTCTGGGGGAGGGGGGTCGTGTACATGACTCTTTTAGAGCAAAACCTTATATTTTCTCATTCCTTATGGTAAGACTCAAAAAAAGTTTGGGTAACACCTCCGGGTCAAGTACGTTTTTTTCTGTACAGCCCGTTATGTGATTTTCGGTTAGGCGCCAAAGTGAAAAAATGACAATATTGACGTTTCAGAGCATAATTCTTTATTAAGCAAGCATAAACTTTCAAATTGCACTGATGAATTACATTGAATAAGTATTACTAACACCTTTCCAGCGTAATTTGTTGGCATAAACATTGTTTCATGGTACGAAATGGCTACATTTTGCTCAATTTTAGCCAAAAAATAGCAAAAAATCTTGGTCACTTTGAAAGTAGCTTTAGGTATGATTGCTTTTCACTCGCCCAATATTGTAGCTAGAGGTGCCAAAATTGGCCCAAAGTTTCCTTATTAAGTGCTCTAAGTGACCCACAAGTGCTGTTGTAACTCAGGGTCAACCCTACCCCCCAAATAGCAGCCTTTTGCGAATTTCGTCAAATGACAATAACCCCTTTCACTGCGGGTCTCGGCCGTGGCCGGGACATCGTGCATGACTTGATATGCGGGACCCGGCTGACGCCGGGTTGTTGCCATGGTTACATGGTAGGGGGTGATGGGACATTTGAAATTCGGTACCCGTATAAGGGAAAGGCTCTAAATCATTCATCTAAAATTTCAAGTCGATCCGTATCTCCTCTGCACCTTAAGGAGGTGTACAACAGTAAGCAGTTCGCCGAAATTCGGCACTAGAGTGCAATAATTTGCATTATGCACGCAGGGTAGATGCCTCGTGGACGTCTAGAAAGCATTAGAAGTAAAATTATTCGTGTTGTGTAATTGTGCCATTCCAGCTAGTAGCGTAGCCATGGTCGCCGGTCGGCCATTTTTGTGTATGAAACGGGATCCGACTACTCTGTAGAAATTCGCATCATAGAGTCGGCAAATGTTTCGAGCGGAGCATAGAGCACAAATCTGTAGTTATTTAACATGAATAAAGTGTATGTTTTGTAAGCGCAGTAACAGTGTGCGTATTTTTAATTAATTTCTGTTCGATGCTTATTCAGGCCTGCAGCCTATGGACGCCTTCTACTGTTGTTCAACACCTTAAGTACACCAATTGATCGTACGTACGACACTGTGGCGATCTTCTGAGAATTTTTAGATTTTATTGAAGCGTAGCTACGGGCGGTGGAGGAGCAAGCATATACTGTACTCTGTAGTAAGTTTGCACTTTATTTGCGGCACTATAGTCTGTATTTTATTATAATAAATCTTATAATAATTGAAGAGTGAGATCTTCTAATATTACTGTGGAACTAACTTTTAAATTGGAATAAATTTCAATAATTCACACAGCGGAATTTGGTTGTTTACTAGTTGTTTGAAAAAAGTCATATATTATAATGACAAACCCTTCCCCCAACAACAAAAATTCAGAACACTTTTTTGCAGAAATAGAAAGAAGGACACTTCAAGTATAATTCCTGAAAAATTAGGCTGATATATTAAGCGGTTTATTTGACATGATTTTTTAAAACGCATATACATGAAATTTGCTTCGTTGCAAAAAAGTATTCAGCACACAGGGGCGAACATGTGAAAAAGTATTCAGCAGTAAAAGAGTTTGTAAGTGACCTAGGAAGTTGATTTTTGTGGCTACATATAGGTTTTTGACACCAAGGAAGTTAAAAGATGAATTGAATGACATAAAGGAAATTAAGACATGAATTGTCCCATAGAAAGATGATTGAAGGATATAGATGCATCATAGAACTGTACAGGTGGACGCTTTCGTGAAAAATAATGCCTAGGTATAACCCAGTTAAAGTGATGCAAGTGTAACTGAAATGATATGGAAGATGGCCAAATATGGAGCACTGGCCGCGCATAGAGGAGAAGTGAGCGCGGCAGAGGGAAAAGAAAAGATAACATGGTGGATCCGTGCGCCATAATGAAAGCCAGCGCACGGATCCAAAGAAAAGACTAGGTGACGGAAAGTGTTCTTCCTCAGGGTGGCATGTGCGAACCGCCGCAGTATATATAGTCTATTTCACGCAGCTGTGCCCTATTTCCCAGTCCGCTGCGCCTTGATGAACAGTACTAGTAGAGTCCACTAAGCATTTGCACGCGTTAACGAAGCCTGCCAAAGGCGGTGTCACAGACGGGGCGGTGCCCCTGCATGGTTAATTCGTGAGTGATAACACTGATATACACATCGGCTCCCCCCCTCACATCGGCAGTTAGGTGATGTCCTTTTGTTTGACAAAGTCCGGGGCGGTGGGAGGGTGAGCGACTTTTTTGTTTGATGTGTGAGGGATTGGCGACTTGTACCTACATATAAGATTTATTATAATAAAATACAGACTATAGTGCCGCATTTTACATGCACCGATCCAAAGCTCTGGGGAAGATCAATATACATAAGAAAGAGAAGCTAACCTGGAAAACAGTCATATATATTTTTCGATTGATAGTTACAGCTTCAACACCAATTTTCTGTGGTATAATACAAACAAATGACAATATTTTTTTTTTCTGGCCTGCGCCTCTTTCTCATGTATATTGCTATTCCTCATAACCACGACAAACTACGGACAACGACAAACTACGGAGAGCGGTCTGCGATGTCTGTTTGTTGCGATAATGTGTAAATGCTGTCTAACCAATGTGCGGCTTCAAAATTAGTCAATTAATTGTTTTATCGAAGTTTGTTGATGATATGCGCAGCCCGCAAGCAGTTAATAACACTGCGATATGTTTGCAGTGATATTGCATGTGTTCCACTTCGATGAGTGATGAACGGAAATATATTTTGAAGAGAGAGACAGAGAAAGAGAGAGAGAGAGAGCGAGAGACTACCCAGCTATGAAGGCAAGAACCACACGCACCCAACTTGTTCTAAGCCAAATAGGATGCTTTCTGTTAGGGGTGGTAGAGGGGGAGAGGAATGGGGAGGAGGGGTGTAAGGGGAAAGAAATGGGAACGAGGGGTAGAGGGGGAAGGCCCAGCGAGCTTGTGAGAAGAGGTGGGCAGTGCTCCGGACTGCTGGACTCTACTGGACCGGTTTAGTAATATATTAGAGATTTTAGTAGCAGATTCGCTTTTAGGATCGTGCGTTGCTGTAGCGGGTGTTATAGTTTATACCGTTTCTAGTTTTATCTCACGAGAGATGGCGCTAGTGGGGTATCCCGCAATGAACCATTTGTGTGTACTCTCTGCGATGACAGTTCTAGGAAGCGAAAACACCAGCGCGCCCAACAATGAACAATCGCGTTCGAACGTGATTGTTTTTAGCAGCCAATCAAGTGTAGCAACGAAAGCTAGGAAAACCGTTGGAGTGGTTGGACACCGGACAGTGTGCAGCTGTACGCGCAACTCGTACGGCGTTCTAAAATCGTTAGCGAAAATATACGCTGCCGGGCAGCGTAGTGAGCGTACAGAATCGCTAGTGTGTCCTAGGCTTCACTCTAGAGCCCTGGTTCCCAACCGGAGGTACTAGTACCCCATGTGGGCACCAGCGAACACCACAGGGGGTACCTGGGAAGCCTCTTAGACAATTTAAAAAAAAGTAGTGCTATATAATAATCAGCGGGTGATTCAGGCACATGGTCCGTTTTCCCGGACAGTCACTGGTTATATGAAACCTCATTGAAGCGCACGGAGCATATGGTGAGCGTCTTCCTATCTTGGATACGGACCGATCTAAGTGGTCTGATTGAATACTGAGCGCTCTCGGATTATCATTCAGTTTAGAGCACAATACACCCATTGACAGTTCTGCGCCTATGTTCTGCGCCAGTAGTTTCGCATCTCCGCGAGAGCCCGAATGTGCGAGTAAACTCCGCCATGTTGTTTATCTCGATGCGTTATCTGCCTTGCATACGCAGGTCGCTCATCTTTGTGTCGAAGAACAGTGCACGTAGCAGGGAATAGAGCACCGATAATGGATGACCTGAGTGACATGACACTTGATACATTTAAATTATGGTCAATGCATGCTCTAAAAGTCTTTCTTAAGCCAATACGATCCGTTTGAGCAGCCCTTCACACTACACGTTAACGCCATTGTTCGCGCATTTTACTCGCGCTTTCTGGGACGGAAACTCTTCCCGACCTTTGACCTTAGGCTT